GCAAACTACAGCTCGAGAGTCCCGGGCAGCTCTTCCGGGACGCACATGTGGGCGCTAGTGTAAAATGGGAAAATGGAAAGGCTGGACTTCAGATAACAGCGATTTCATTTGTCTGCGAAGCACCGGTAAGGCTCGCGAATAATTTTCAAATTGTTGTGAGAGACAGGATGGGCCCTTTTGTCTCAAAAGTTGGCCAACCCCTGGTCTAACCTCTTCACTAGCGTTGACAGTGTTGAAGAATAAAAATTCAGGGCCTCAGAGCAAGGACACGCGAAACCCTTTCTGGTGGGTTGAGGAAAGAGACATGATCGGACACATAGAACCAAAGCAGCAAAGCCCTTAAGCAGAAAGGAAGAAGGGCGCCAGGCGGCCACCGGCTGACTCACCACGCCAGGTTTCCCTTGTTGGTTCTCAGGGTTGGTGGCTGGGACCGGGAGGAAAAAGGCTACGGTGCCCTGTGATTGGTCAACGATTCCTCTCTTCTCCCGGCATCAGCTGGGCCTTGTCTTTGATGAACAGACTAGAGTTCATGGAGAACAAAGCTTCGCTTCCCCTCTTCCTCCTTCCCCTCCCCAATCCCTCTCCCCGTCCCCTTCCTCTCCCCCCTTCCCACTCCTGTAGTGCCCACTCCAACTCACTGACCCCGTGGGACAGAGTAGAATGGGCCCACAGTGTTTTCTAGGCCCCCATGGTGTACTGGGTTGCTAAGCCCAAGGTCAGCAGTTTGGAACCACCAGCCACTCTGTGGGAGAAGGATGAGGCTTTCCACTCCCGTAAAGGGTTACAGTGTTGGAAATCCACCGGGGGCCAGCTCTACCCTGTCCTGTAGGGCCACTGGGAGTCCAAACGACTCGATGGCCCTGGGGAATCCTTACCAGATCAGATGGTCAGCTCTTTTCTCCCTCAGGGTGGCTGGGTGGGCTCAACCCACCCACCGTTCAGTCAGCAGCCACGTGCTTCCCCATGCACCCTGACGGCTTCTTTAAGGCTCCTCCAGTCTTCCCCCAGAGACAAATTTAGGGAGTAGGGGCGCCTCGCTTCATCCTCCACCGTCTCATTCCTTTCTGACTTCTCAGCCCCCGGAGAAGGGTTAGATGGTCACCGTCAACTTTCTGTCACCGCGCCCAATATCGGTGTCCGCTGCCCTCACGTTGGAGCAGACTCACGGAAACCCCTGTGGAACAGAACAGAACGTGGCCCAGCCCGGCACATCATCGGCGTCTGTGCTCTCTGTTGTGGTAGCCCCTGTCCATCTCCTTGATAGGGCCCCTCGCTTAAAAAAATGTTTCATTGATATAATATTCACGTGTCATACGCTTCCATAGTTAAGTTGCTGTTAAAGAGTTGTATATACTCCACCATGATCCGTTCCAGTGTCCCACCCCCTTCCCACATTCATTGTTTGCTCCCCAATTCCCCTCACCTCCCCTCTGAGCCCCCATAAACGATTAGATCAGTTATCTTCTCCATGCATCCACTCCTTCTGTGCTTCCTAAACTGGGAACCCTAACAGAAGCAATCAAAAACAAGACCAAAGTGAAACGGAAAGGAAAAAATAGAGCGAAACGGAAAGGAAAAAATAGAGCGATAAAAATAAAGAGTAATAAAAGACCACCAGCAATATTAAAAAAGCCAGAGAAGAAATTTCTTTTTTTTAATTAGTCATTTTATTGGGGGGGCTCTTACACATCTTATAACAATCCATCATTCAATAGTATGAAGCACACTTGTACATATGTTGCCACCAACATTTCCCAAACATCTTCTTTCTGCTTGAGCCCTTGGTATCAGCTCCTCTTTTTTCCCCTCCCTCCCCCACCCTCTCACCCTTGTGAATTCTTGATCAATTATGTATTATTATTGTTATTTTGTGTCTTGTACTCCCTGTTGTCTCCCTTCACCCACCTTTCTGTTAGTCATCCCCCTGGGGAGGGTGGGCTATATTATATATCCAACTTTGTGCTGGGTTCCTCCTTCAGAGAAGAAACCTCTGTGGTGGAACAAAAGAGGAGCAAAGTTACACTTGGGGACTTGAACAGGCCACGATCTTCTAGATTTGTCTTTCTTCATCTATTAAGACGATCATATTTTTTTCCCTTTTCTGATCCGTCAAATATGTGAGGTGTTACAAAGATACTTCCTGTCCAGATCACCTTCCAAACCAGTTCCAGCAGAATGCTGGCAGGTGGGGCTCCGCCGTCAGGTAAAGACTCCCCCAGGTGATTCCAATGAATGGCAAAGCTAGCCTGGGTTAAGGAGCTATGGCAACACGGATATGCTTCCATTCATCCCACCGATCTTGATCCCGTCCTTCAGAGGAGGATGGCCCTGTGCTGGGGGGTTTATGTCCATTTGTGTCGTGTTTGCCTTATGAGTTTGTGGTAGAGACGGCTGCCTGCAGTCGAGTGTGGGTGGACAGGCTCTCTTCCTGAGGCATCGACCAGCTTGGTGGTTTTGACGAGCCTCTAGGTTCCACCACCCCGCAGGCGCGTGCAGGGTGGACGAGGAAGATGGAGGCAGGATGGAAGCGTTTGAACGGCGATGTGGGTGAAGAGGGTTTTAAACACACCGTCGACTTCCAGACGAAGGAGCCAATCTGTCTTAGAAGAAATGAAACCAGAATGCTCCCTTCGAAGCAAGAATGGCCCAAGCTACATCTCGCTTACTTTGAAGGCGTGGTCCGGAGAGGCCCATCGGACATCACGTTTGGTCAAGCAGAGGGTTTGTGACAAGGAGATGGATTTACACAGTCGCCACAACAACGGGGTCCCACCCTGTCAAAGATCAAGAAGATGGTCTTGGAGTGA